ACATTATTTTGTGTATTTGGTGTAATGAAATGTGTTTATGCGGTTTAAAGTAAAAAAAAACACATTATTTTCCACATACTGTACATTATTGTTTCTCCTCTATGCCCCGCCTTTGTCGATTTTTACAAAGCTCATCGGTCTGAAAAAGCGAGGTGTGCTGTGATTGGCCAGCTATCCAATGCGTTGTGATTGGCCGAATACCTCAAGCGTTAGACGGAAATGTTACGCCCCTCACATACTGTTGATGCCGTGTCCCGGCCAGAGCAACGAGACAAAAAATATGAAAACCCATTACAAACGAGGCAGAGAAAGGAAAAATTGAAATCGCATCATATGACCCCTTTAAACCTGAATTACTTTTTCATCTGTGAAGCTTGTAATGAGAAATTTCACACTTTTCAATGCAATGACAATGAATGCTGACTGAAGATATCAATCCCCAAAATGGCCACAAAACCACCTTAAAAGTATCCTAAAGAATCATAAAAGTAGTCCACATAACCCATGTGCTATATTCCAAGTCTTCTAATGTTATTTAATAACTTATAGTAGATAGTAAAATTACCCCATGATTTACTCACCCTCAAGCAATTCTAGGTGTAGCCTATATGACTTTATTTTTTGCAGATGAATACAATCAGAGTTATATTTAAAAAAAAAATGTCCCGGCTCTTCCAGGCTTTATAATGGCAATGAATGGGTGTTGAGATTTTGAAGTCCAATAAAGTGCATGTATCCATTATAAAAAGTATTCCACATGGCTCCGGGGGGTTAATAAAGGCCTTCTGAAGCGAATCGATGCTTTGTGTAAGAAAAATATCCATATTTAAAACTGTAATCTCTTGCCTCCGCTAACTGTGGAATGCACGCTCATGAGAGAGTAGCGTTCCAGCAGATTATGTAGGACAGGGGTGCCCAAACTCGGTCCTGGAGGGCCACTGTCCTGCAGACTTTACCTCTAACTTGCCTCAACACACCTGCCTGGATGTTTCTAGTATGCCTAGTAAGACCTTGATTTGCTGTTTAAGGTGTGTTTTATTGGTGTTTGAGCTAAACTCTGCAGGACAGTGGCCCTCCAGGAGTAGGATTGGACAACCCTGATGTAGGTGTAGTGTAAGCTCCGGTGAGAAGTGATGAACGCGGAAATGCAGATGAGAGAGCAAAACAAAACACAGGTTTCGAAATAGAAGTACAAAACGAGGATTTGTAAAGAAAAATTTGAGAAAAGATTTCGATATAAGCCAAGAGGAGACTGGTTTTCCTTTGCTGTAAACAAAACTTGGTTCTCAAGAGACTAGCATATTCTTACCAGAGCTTATGCTACGCCTACATCTTACGTCATCCACTGGAATGGATTTTTCTTACACAAACACATAGTTTCAAGGCCTTTTTAACCCCCTGTGTGGAGTACTTTTTATGATGGATGGATGTACTTTTTTGGGCTTCAAAACCTCAACACCCATTCACTGCCATTATAAAGTTGGGAGGGCCAGGACATTTTTCAATATAACTCAAATTGCAATCGTCTGAAAGAAGAAAGTCATTTACACCTAGGATGGCTTGAGGGTGAGTAAATCATGGGGTAATTTTCATTTTTGGGTAAACTATCCCTTTACGTTGTTATTCACATATAATCTCTATCTCTAGAAAGCTGTGGTTTGAACTAAAGAACTGATTCAGTTGTGAACAAATCATTCAGAACAGCTAATGCATTAGCTACAGAAGACCTGGTAATTAACACATGAGGTGGATGGACTACTAAAGGAAAGATCCACAATAAAAGTTTGTGGATTTTTCCTTTGGCTTGATGTACTGATCTCGCATATGTCTCAAAAAATCTCACCTGTACAGTTTTGAAAGAGATCTCAATGATTGTGCTCAGATTTGCAATGAAGCCAGATCAAATTTTTGTCTCATTTTAATTGAGAAATCATGAGCTATGACAGATGAGCCATACTATTTTCATCTGGATGGTTGTAGATACTCTAAGTAATTCTTCAATTATTCTTCAATTTTTAACTCTGTTTTGTGCTTTTAGGCCTAATTCACCCAAAATATTTAAAACATTCCTTTGTTTGTATTCCATGCCTCTTTCGGAACCAATATATTGCACACTCCCCTTCTATTTTGGGCTGGTTTGCACTTGGGCAAAGCAAGAGGAATGTCTTTGGATTATATTGGAAAGAAAGAAACAGAGCGATGAATTCTTTGAACGTATAAAAGTACCACTTTCTGACCCACCTCTACCCTCTCTGCCACCCACACCCTCTGCTTCTCTCTCTTTCATGTATGAAGTATTGTGTGGCTGTTCAGAACTTTGTTTTGTTGTTGTGAAGATCAGAGAGGTTGACATGCTAGTCAACAAGAAAATAATATGTTGGACTGTTCTGTTGTGTAACTTAAAAAATTTGACTAAAGGAGTTGGTTGGGCTGACCACATTTATTCAACATAACATTTAAAGAATTAATTCATAAAGTTTTACTTGTTGTATAACTTTATGGCCTGGCTTCACAGACAGGACTTAGGTTAAGCCAGGATTAGACCATAGTTCAATTAAGACATTTAAGCAATTTTTATAAACAAGCCTTAAAAAATAAACATTACTGGTGTGCGTCTTGAGACAAAACAATGAAAATTATATATTCAGTCAGTCAGTGCTAGTTTCTTTCAGTTGAAACAGCTCAGACTTACACTTTAGTCTGGGACTAGGCTTAAGCCTTGTCTGTGAAACTGTGGGATAATGTACACATGCATGTATGTTATGCATTTACTTGGATAGCAAAGACTTTTTAAAAGTGTATATCTGATTAAAGTTTTTTTTATTATTTTATTTTTTACATTTTATATTTTTATTTTATTTTATTTTATTTTATTTTATTTTATGCATTTCCTTGGATGGCACAGGCTTTTTAAAAGTGTATATCTGATTAAAGTTTTTTTTATTATTTAATTTTTTATTTTATTTTATTTTATGCATTTCCTTGGATGGCCACAGGCTTTTTAAAAGTGTATATCTGATTAAAGTTTATTTTTTGTCAACTTTTAGCTGGAACTTTTCAGTAAGTCTGAATGCATTTAAATGGATTTCATGGCGTCTTTAAAAAGGAAGAAGTGACTCATTCATGTCTATTTTTTTCCATTTCACTTTTGGGGGCTTTTTTGGTATTTGTTTGCATTCTCCATCTATAGCATCTGACAGCATGTGGCAAATGATGAATGAAGCAGATCATTTAAGCAGAGACGTTCAAGCAGACAAACACATTAGCACAGTGAGTGTGAGAGCTTTTAATGACAAATAGCCCCAATGGGACCAACTTTCTCACAGCTCATTAAAACAGGAACCACAGACGTCCTTCCATGCCAGTTATGTCGAGTCGGTTATGACAGACGTGAGCTATGGGGACTTTGTTCATATCAAAACAAGTATCTATTCAGCCGATTCACAGGACGTCAGGACTGCGGTGGATGTTTGAACACATGCCTCTCTTGATTCATGACTGCCCGTGAATGAGCTTATGGGCTGGTTTGTTTGCCTGAATGATCCTGAGAAATGAGGAGGATTAGGTGGTATCTTAGGTGTTGATAAGACGTTTTGTTGCCACACAGAGTTGCTTAAGCTAGTTCTCTTAGCATCGCTCGAGGCTGGAGTGGCCTAAACTGGTGGCTTGTGGGAGTTCGGGCAGTCTGTGTTTGGATTTAGCAACTAGCATGGAGGGACTTCCTGTTTACACACCCCCAATACATTAATTTCAGCAAATATCATTTTCTCTGTCTTTCAGATCTTTTTAAGGTTTATAATTTTTAGCTTGATTTTGTCAACCTTGATTTTTAAAAAAAGCCTTATTTCATCTTAAGTAGCACAATTGTTGTTTCTATTAGTTTCAAATAAAGTTAATAAAGTTATTCTAGGAATTTTAGAACATTAGCTAAAGTAGAAAAATGTGTGACTTTTAAAAAAGACAGATTTCAAATAAATAAATAAATAACATTAAAAATATATAAAATAGTTCAGTCATAACTTTTGAATTTGAATAGGATTAAAAATATAATATACCTATATATTAAAAAATACGCCTGAAAGTGTTTTTTAGCCTGATTTTAGATCAAGAAAGATAGATAGATAGATAGATAGATAGATAGATAGATAGATAGATAGATAGATAGATAGATAGATTTTGTTACTGTAAAAATAAATAAATAAAATATATAAATTAAAATAAAAACAGTAATAATTCAATTCGATAATTCAACAAAATAATTCTGTTATTGGCAAACAAATAAATACATTTATTTGACTTGAAGTAGCAGAAACTGATTCTGTTATTGTCAGATTTTGTTAAATAAATAAATACATAAATAAATAAATAAGCAAGCATTTTAGTCATATCTAGGCTAAAATGGCAAAACTGTTAATTGTGTTATTGTCCAATTGTCTGAGAAAAAAAAACAACCTTCCACTGATTTGAGCTAAAATAGCAAATTTACTTTATTTAGTGTAAGATTTTGTGATTTGACAATAAAATGTACAATCACACAACTCAATCTCACAACTGTGTTTTTCCTTTAACCAGTAGTGTCTTTGGCCCATATGATTTTGGTTGAGCCCTGCTGAGCATCCTAATGGATTTCGTCAGACAGGAACACTGTGGGAAATGGGGGAAAGCAACCAGAGCGCATTGAGAATTTGAGGCGCAGAGCTAATTAAAACAAGTTTTGAGGAGCAGAGAGACGCGCCTAATGTTTCAAGCATGATGGGAATGCAGGTTTTTATGCTCAGACTGTCCCTGTGCAGACTTCATGACTCTCCACAGATGCTGTTTTTTGCTTACCTTTCCTTCCATTCCTACTCTTTAAATCTGCATTTTCCATATTATGCTGAACAGTACGCATCCATGAATTCTGTTTTATCTCTTGCAGTGCTCTTTTCACTTTATTGATATCTTGTCCCTCAGAAATGTAGAGAAATGACTGTTCCTCTAACTTTTCTATTTGTTCTTAGTTGGGACGACAGCAGCTCAGTCAGCAGCGGGATCAGTGACACCTTGGACACAGATGACCTCAACACCAGCTCGTCCCTTAGCTCCTATGTCAACACCCCATCTGTCCCACACAGAGACGTGGATGAACAGGTCAGTCATTGAAACCAGAGCCTCATGGTCTACAGAATCAGAAACATCTGCAGAAGTTCACATGAGAAACAACTTCAAAACATGATTCAGTTTTCATTTATAGAAATTATTTTCGCAGAATAAATTAAAATGGTTTTATTATTTTATTTGATTGTCTATGTCATTGTTTTAAATAGGTAATCATTTATATTTTTATGATGGATTTTCATGTGTTAAGATTGAAATTCTAAAGGTCCTTGCACACTGAGTCCGAAATTTTCGTATGCGTTTTTTTCTCTCGTTTTTATCGTATTCGTCATCCTTTCCTATCAAAATGCTTGCTACATATGCGAAAACGCAGAAAATCAAACCTGATCCGAATTTTTTTATGACGGACGAAAGTTTCGGAGGCAGTGTGTAAACGTGATTGGCACAACGTGAGGTCGTATTTATTTTTTAACGTGCGAAAATTTCGGACGAGAATTTCGGACTCAGTGTGCAAAGACCTTAAGTCTGGGACAGTGATAAAACAATATAAATATTTTAATATAAAATTTCTTTAGTAGTCAGTATAAATGATAAAGGCTTATAAAAAGTTTTAATATGACCTTTAAAAAAAATGAAGTGAAAGTGACGTGACATGTGGCCAAGTATGGTTAACCATACTAGGAATTAGTGCTCTGCGTTTAACCCATCCTAAGTGCACACACACAGCAGTGAACACACACACACCGTGAACACACACCCGGAGCAGTGGGCAGCCATTTATGCTGCGGCGCCCGGGGAGCAGTTGGGGGTTCGGAGCCTTGCTCAAGGGCACCTCAGTCGTGGTATTGAAGGTGGAAGAGAGCGTTGTACATTCACTCCCCCCACCTACAATTCCTGCCGGACTTGAGACTCGAACTCGCAACCTTTGGGTTACGAGTCCGACTCTCTAACCATTAGGCTACGACTTCCCCCGTGGCCTTCCCTTAAAGGTATAGTTCACTCAAAAATGAAAATTATCCCATGATTTGCTCACCCTCAAGTCATCCCAGGTGTATATGACTTTATTTCAGACTATCCCTTTAAATAAAAAGTTGAAATTTGTACATTTTTTCATTAATAAATGAGATGCGTATATGTGTATATATAATATTAAAAAAAAAAACTTTTTAAATATATATTTACATTTATTTTACATCTACTATTTTCTTTTAATTCATTGAAATTTTCTGAAAATATTGGTAAATTTAGTACTTGTTGGTAAACATAAATGATGTATGCATTGTAAACCTTTTTAGTCTATATTTATCTGAAATATGTTAATTTTAATAAAAATCAAGGCTTTGGGGCATAAAAGTGCCTGACTTTGAAGAAACACCCATGTAAAGATATACAGGGAAATGTAGTAGCCTTATATATATCTCACTGAACTGTTAAAAAGTCCCTTAATTTGATTCGCCGTCTATGGTTATCATTATATGCAATCAAAAACAGGCCTGCACGTTTACAGAACTGCTTTGGGAGCAGTTCTGTTGCTTCATTGTCCCTTTTGAGTCAATGAAACATTGGTGGGCCCTTATCAGAACTGGCCTGTGCAGTCTTTGTGAGTGTGAGTCAGCGGACTGACTCAACTCTGCCCCGGTGATTGATCATCTTTACAAGCTCAAAGCAGGTTAACATATGCTGAGCAAATGGGCCAGTACAGTGAAGCAAAGACACGGCGTCTGTCTCGCCTGTTCTAACAAGATGAGCACTTTAAATCCAGATGTGGCACACTGAGTTGTGTGCCAGTAACTTTATCCACACCTATGGCTTATTGGTTTGTGCATTGGTGTTACGTAGTGAAATCCATGACCTTATTTATCTTCAGTCTGCCATATTTATCTCCGCAGATGAAATTTTTTTTACTTTGGCTACTAGCTGAAATAAGTTATATAAGTTTAAGTTCTTTTTTTAATTAAATTTTATTCAGTTAACATTTGTTTTGTTTCAAGTAACAAAGATCTTTTTCAACTCTAATAGCCATAAACATGATTTCAAATTCAAAGAGATTAGAGCCATGACCCAAAAGTGCATCCGAAGCCAAATATCTGCCACCTTTCACTTCCACACCCTTGTACTTTTTCCCTATATAGTCTCCCCTCATTCTTCGGGCTGGAGTGGAGGAAGGATTTATTGTATCGTCGTTGAGATAACAATGTTTTGGAATTGGCCTGATAACAACTGGAGGCTATTAACATTCTTTCCCTGGCAATAATTTTCATGAGGATTTTCAGTAGCAGCTGAACAACAGCTTTCTAAAAGGGGGTGATGTCATCTTGGATACATACATTACAAGGTCATGTAATGGACGAGTTGGCTCTTTTGTCACATAATCAGATTTTATGATGGCTGTTGATGGTGTTGCTTAAAAAATGAGTTGCAAATTAGCTGTCGGTGATAATATTCTCAGTCATTAAAGACATTATATAATATATTTGTGCATATCAGTCCAGAGTCCTTTAGTAAAAATTTTTTTTATGCAAAGGACTCTCAAATATGATGACTCTTAAATTTAAAGGCAGGCATATATTTATATGTAATATACAGTATTTATATTTTTATATTTATGTAACAACTCATTATACTCTGCTCACAAACCATCTGGCACCCCCTTTTTTTAAAAATAACTGTAAAAAATATTTTTTATTTCCCTTTTTACACAAAACTATATGCAAATGTTTTTTTAAGTTAAAACTATTGCTACCAATAGAATACAATAAATTCAATTAATCTAATAATTTCTGACTAGTTTTTAGAAAGCGGAATGAAATCCTAATATAATTTAATATAATATAGGATTATTATTAAAATCCCTGTGTTAAACATATTTTATTTATCTATATTTCATATCCTAAGTACAAATTAACTTTGACAGCCCTAAAAAAAATTCCCCCCACAGACACTCTGGCACCCCCTTGTGGCCCCCTGGAAAACCCCCCAATTTTAACACACACCCCAATAGACAGTTTTACTTATTTGCAAAGAACATAGAAATCCATTTTATATTGCTTTCAAAGTTCAGAAAATTTCTTTGCAGTTAATGATCTTGTTTTCTCTCTTTCAGCTCCAGACGGATGCAGAGAAGCACTCTGCAGTGAAACACAACCCCAACTGGTCTAACAACGACCTTAAACGTTCAGAAGGCAGCTCTGACGGTGCCAACAAAATGGAGACCACAACTAAATGGAATCACAGGTCCTCAGATTTCTCAGATGAATCAGAACGGAGCTTGATGGGTCGCAAGACACCTACAATTTCCCAGACAGGCTCTTGGAGGCGGGGAATGACTGCCCAGGTGGGCGTCACCTCTCCACGGACGAAATCTACAATACCTACAAACTTCAGCGCACTCAAGACACATGGTAATGGTTTTAGATAGTCATGTTTTATATCCTCATGTCTTTCCAAACCTTTTTTGGAACACAAAACAATGTATTTTGATGAATGATTTTATCCATAAAATGAAAGTCAGTGGGGTCCAAAAAAACATGTTTGTGTTCCAGAGAAAGAAAGTCATACAGGTTTGAAATGACACGAAGGTAAGTAAATGATGACCAAACTTTCATTTTTGAGGTAATTTGTTCCTTTAACTGAAATATTAATAATGTTTCATTTACAAATAACGGAAAATTTTGCTCATCTGCTACCAGAGCAAGAAAATAAGCTAAATAAAATGTTTTTGTTTTAGTTTTTATTTAGCTTTATTTATTTAGTTTTGTTTTAGTACTTCAACTTAATTTTTTTTTTTTTGGTTACATTTTTAAGTTCTTCATCTTATCTAATATTTTTATTTAATTTTATTTCAGCTTTATTTTAGTTACTAAAAACAATTTTAAATAGTTTTAGTTAAGAGTAACAACACTGACTAAGCCACGTCTCTGTTTTCTTGTGGTTTCCTGAGGCATGAAAGCCACGGAGATGTATTATCTGATTCCAGATCGCATCACATTGCACTATAACGCCTACATTGTCTTATGTGTGGTGTGCAGCACTCCTTTGCCGAGACTTATGTTCAGACGAGTCCCGACATGGACCATGCTACTATATTCAAAACTTTTCAAAAACATGATTTCATTTTGTGCTTGACAGTCCATGTCGTTGATCATCCCACAGGTAAGACCGACGACGCCAAAGTGTCAGAGAAAGGACGTTCCAACGGCACCCACTCCACAACTGTTGATGACACCAAGAAACCTCCCCTCAGTTCAACCTCACGCACCCCAACCAGCACTTTTGGCTTCAAGAAGGCTCCAGGCGCAATGGCGACAATAACCGCTAGTGGAGCTGTGGTTACTAGTGGCTCTGCGACAGTGGGCAGGATACCTAAATTGGTTGGGTTTTCTGGGAGTCGAATTGTGAATCGGCAGACGACTGTCGATGATGGATACCTTCCTCCAAGTGCTCGGATGACTCTTCAGTACCGCAGTTTACCGAGGCCTAGTCGTACCGCCACAGCTCGCTGTTCTAACCGCTCCAACAACTCGAGCCTTGATGCTAGTTTTTGCAATAAAGGTACCGCCACACTTCCCAATCCTAAGAGTCGCAACTTAGTCAAGTCCCCAATGGGAACTACTAACCAGACAGACCGAGAGAAGGGTATCTTTTCCGATGTGGAGAGCCAGGTACTTAAAACTTGCACAACTACCCAAACGGGGTGCCAAGCTGGACGGCAAGTAGGAGGAAAGTATTCAGAAATGTCCTCGCCAACCCTTCGTAGGTAAGTTCTCGAAGTTTAGCTCATGTAGACTTGAAAGACTATTGATGAAAAATGTATTTTGCAAGGCATGATTTTTACTTGATGTGGATGAAAGCACCATTTTAGGTCCCTCAAATATTTACACAGCAGTTCTCAGCTGGGCTGTGTGAGTTCCAGAATATTCTCCTCCTTGGGTGCTGGACGGCGTTCACAGGACTCACTGTTTATCTGAGCGATTTGATTCTGAGGCTTGAAAGGCGTCTTCTGGCCACCACAAGTGCATTTTCCTTGGGCTTCTTGATGTTTCTCTAAAACATGGCACAGACCAAGAGGCTAGTGTTTGTTCTAGCTGATTAGCTTGCTAGCTCTGACTGATTGCTCTCTTAGTTAGTAGAACCAGACTACAGATAGACTGATGTTATCATATACTATATGAAGTCATGAGAAAAATCAGAGGTGCCAGACTTTCCTTATCTCATATTTTCTTTTGTGAAGAACAGAGGTGTCCATCCTGGACGGCTAGTGGCCTACAGAGTTTAGCTGCCCCAACACCCTTGCTTGGAGGATTTAGTGAGCCCGAAGACCTGACAGATGGTTCAGGGTTGTTTAATTAGGACTGGAGCTAAACTTTGTAGAATAGTGGCCTTCCAGTCAAGAATGATGTTGATTTCCATTTTGTTGTCAATGATCAACCAAAAAAGTGATTCTTGTCAGTTCAGTTGGAACTTTGGCTACTTTACTACTTTTTTTGGTTGAATACTTCAATGTTTCATTAATGTATCATTACTGCATCAATGTATCATTAATTACACATTTTCATATGAGCAACCAATCTATAAATAAGCTAGTTAATTTTGAAATGGACATAACCAAAAACTGACTCATGATTCAGTGAGGGAGGGTGTTAATCGTAATCTCAGTAATGGCTGTCAAACTCAAAAGCAATTTTGTGAATCTTTCGTTTTGTTTGCAATTCGGTCACTGCAGCCTGCACTATGAACATTTCCCCTGCTTATTGATTCAATCACTAACTTGTAAGCGAGTTTGAGACAGTTTCATGAATCTTTTTGACTGACTCATTAAAAAGAACTGCTTCATAAGAAGAGTCATTTGTTGGCAATGAAAAATTCTCTGCCTGATTGAGTCTGATTCAAGCTGCTTACATTCAAGTGAGTATGAGACCGTTTCATAAAAGTTTATTTTGACTGATTCATTCAAAAAAAATTGTTTGTGAATCGGATATCACAGAGTCATTAAAAAGACAGAGTAGAGTGACACTGGCATGCAGTCTACTATGATGCAACCTAGATTTTCAGTTATTGTCGCAATGTTTACTTTTTGTTGCAATTGCAACCATTTTAGTTACATTTTTTTTAATCTTGTTGTTGAATTTCTTTCCCCCTTTGCATCCAGACTCTTTGGTAGCAAATCTTGCAACAAGCAAGCTCCGGTCACCACCATGGAGAACATGAAGAACTCCACCATCATCTCCAATCCTCATGCCACGTCTATCCAGCAGAATGGTTCTGTAAACACACCATCTGTCGCCAGCGGAGGCAGCGGCCCAGTTTATAATGACAGCCTGACGGTGCCCTCTGGGGGTCATGGAGAGCAGACCCTTTCCTCTATGACCTCCAGCCCAGGATCAGCTTTCTCTCCTTGGGGAGGCAGGGATAGATCGGGCTCCAATCACATCAGTAGCGACTCCATTGATGTTTCCTTGGGAAAGGAAGATTTATGTCTTAATCGGACCAACAGCGCCCGAAATGGCCTCTCAGACAGGTGAGAAACTGATTGTTCAACCATGCAAACTTCATGTCAACAGAAATGATTCTTCCAGCTATTTGTGACTTGAAAGTATGGTTTATATCTCTAGTGATGATCTATCTTCCTTTCCACCTACACCTCTTTAATCATTTCTTTATCTCCTCTCCCTTTTCTGTCACTTTTATCTGCCTCTTTTTGTTTTGTCAGCCCTGTACCCTCCTCTAGCCCTCACTCCTCCCCCTCTGCTAGCCCTAAATTTACCCGCAACACACTCCCACAGAAACAGGACAGGTAAAGCTATCTTTGTGGTCAATTGGTCAGTTTTGCTTTGTGTTTTTGTCTTGCTTGTGTGCATTATGGTCAGGGCTCCTGACTGTGACTACAAAAAATAGAAATTTGTAACAATAATTTGAAGGGAAAAAATAAACAGGAAAACTCAGTACTTAGTTATGTTCCTTTCATGTTCTTCATGTTTTTGGAATGACAGTAAACCTTCCTTGATTCCTTGAAATTACTCTTTTGAACTAGTTCTTTTTAGTCAAAAAGATTCACAAAACAGTCTCAAACTCATTTCTGAATCAGATTTTCTCTGTCAGTGAGTTATTTCTGAGTGCGCAATTGAACCACAAATCTTTTTTCATTTATGTCAGATTTAAAACAAACAGAGAACACAGTTACTTGGAATTAATAATATGTGTTCACAACAGAGATTTTGTGTAATAAGTAATTTTTAATTCTATCAATCTAAATCTAATTTGTCAGCCAAAACAGTAATTTAACTCCTTAATTTTCTTTTTTCCCACCTTTTTTTTTGAGCCAGTGGCTCCCTACTCTTTGTTTTAGTCTAGATCCCTGATTATGTCAGTAGTATGCCAATATATTGATAGTATGTCAGTGCAGTATGTTTTAACTGGGTTTTGATTCGTTTAGTACACAATATGGTATTTACTTTGTATGTACCTGCTGACCTGGTTAAATATTGTAGTATGCAAATAATCATGGGAGCTTGGAGCTGTGGACTTGGGTTTTCTGTTACCCACCATAGATTGGATAGCTGTGCTTATCCTGGCATTGTGACATTTATCTTGGAGCTGTTTTCAAGAGAACATTCATGCGAAAGAGAAAAACAACACTCCATTTCACTGACTTACATACACTTGTTTTAAACCTGCAGGTATGGCCATGTGCCTCAGGTCAAAGGTCATGAAGAGGCCCGTGATTGGCTACGTTCTCCCTCAGCTGTTGGGCTCCCGGATTCAATTGGCTCTTCCCTCTACACCCCTGCCTCTGCACTCAGCTCGCCCTCCGGCACACGCTTCAACTTTAGCACACTTGGTAAACACAAGAAAATTTGCTTTTGTTACTCTAGGGCAGGGGTGGGCAAACTTGACCCTTCCAGGCCACTTTCCTTCAGAGTTTAGCTCCAGCCCTAATCAAACACACCTGAACCAGCTAATCATTGTCTTCAAGACTACTAGAAGGCTACAGGCAGGTGAGTTTTATCAGGGTTGGATCAAATCTCTGCAGGAAAGTGGCCTGGAAGGGCCAAGTTTGCCCATCACTGCTCTAGGGTTTACACTGTAAGATGCACAATATATTGTTACCATATTGATTATGATTATCGACCAGTGTTAATATTGGTGTGTGTGTTTATATATAATTATAATTTTTATATATCTCCACCGATACCGATAAATTTAATGTGCATATGTAATCTTATCAATTACATTTGCTCTCATCTAATGGTTATATAAAGTTAATTTAAAAATATAAAAAAATAAAAACTATTTTAGGTAATCTCTGTTAATCTAGAAAATCTTATATCCAAATCTAGATATCCATGAATATCCATTTTTCATGCAATGCATTATACTGTTGTGAAGTTTAAAAAAATATATTTTTTTGGTTTTATGTGTATTTTTTTAGACAAAATAGTATACATTTTAATATCAACCATTTATTGGTTATCGGCCATAGCATGAAAATAATTACCGATATATAGGTATCACCCTGAATGGTGCATCCCTAGATTATGTGTAAAATATTATTTTAGATAATCGTCTGTTGGATTATTACCCAGTACTCGCAGCAGACTAAATGCAGCTCAAATTGTCATTAATTACTCACCCTTGTGTCGTTCCAAACCCATAAGACCTTCGTTCATCTTCGGAACACAAATTAAGATATTTTTTGTTGAAATGTGAGAGCTCTCAGACCCTGCATAGACAGCAACGCAACTGTAATGTTCCCAGGTCCAGAAACGTAGTAAGGACATCGGTAAAACAGTCCATGTGACATCAGTGGCTCAACTTCAGTTTAGCGAAGCTACGAGAATAATTTTTGAGCACAAAGAAAACAAAAATAACAATTTATTTAACAAATTTTCTCCCCCGAGTTACGTCTTCCACCATTTTAGAGAGTATCACAATGCATACGCACGCTTTCCCCTAAGCGTAAACAACGCTGATTATGCAGATTACATTCATGCGCGTGTTTTCTCCCCCGAACATAAATAACGTTGATTACGTCGATTACGCTCTTGGGTACTCTCCAAAATGGCGGAAGACGTAACTTGGGGGAGAAGAATTGTTAAATAAATTGTTATTTTTGTTTTCTTTGTGCTCAAAAAGTATTCTCGTAGCTTCGCAAAACTGAAGTTGAGCCACTGATGTCACATGGACTGTTTTACCGATGTCCTTACTACGTTTCTGGACCTGGGAACATTACAGTTGCGTTGCTGTCTATGCAGGGTCTGAGAGCTCTCACATTTCATCAAAAATATCTTAATTTGTGTTCTGAAGATGAACGAAGGTCTTACGGGTTTGGAACGACACAAGGGTGAGTAATTAATGACAGAATTTTCATTTTGGGGTGAACTAACCCTTTAAGTTTTAAGTTAAGTTTAAGTTTTCAGTTAGAATTGTCAGTTGTATTGAAAGTTTTAATTTTATGCTTTAACTAAAATATCTACTAGTCTCCCCCTTATTGTGAACTTTGAATGCACATTCATGTCATTAGGTTCAATCTTAGTATTTTTTTAACCCTGATCCCTGTGTTGACAATCCAGGCAGTCCCACCACAGCTTCTCAGATAGCAACTTTGCGCGGCACCAACGGTCAGGGCAATCACGACAACCTGTGCGACCCCTACAGCGATCCACGTCTGAGGAACTCCTCGATGAGCCTGGAGGAAAAGAGCCGCACTATGAGTAGCTCCGGATCGTTCCATGAGGGCCTGGAGGAAGGTGAGACTTCAGAATGATTCTGATGGATCTAAATAAACGATTGTGAATTTGTGCGATTTTTGTGCACTTTGGTGTGTATAAGGAGACTAAATATGAGCTAGTATCACCTGAATGCGTTATTTCTGTCTGCTATCAGAATTTACTATCATAACTTAATCCATAACGTCATGTTTTTGGAAAAGAGGAAATAGACCTGCATTGTTCCGTTAGCTAATAACTAAATGATAGATTGTCATTAATGTTAGGGTTTTCGACAATGTCAGGCTGTAACGTGTGTCCTTACTTGTGCCAAAGCATAAACAAACAAAGAGCGGCTTTGTTGGCCTGGCAGACTTTTCCCCATAGTTAATGTTGATTTGATGATTAACTCACCTGCATTGGCTCAACACCACTTGTCCCAAGGCTCTTTTGCTTTTTGTATTTATGATTCATGCCTTTGTAAGGTAGTGATGGTGTTGATTTCAATGTGCCAGTGAACTTAAGCAGTGGTGTTCAGGCTTGTAAAAAGAACAACAGTTGCTGTTCGCAATGATGCATGTCCTCAATCTAATGTAGTTTTTTTTAAAGGTTATTTTTGCCCAGTCTGTTTGTTACTGGCTTAAAAAGGAAAAAAGTTGTCTCAGAGAGGAATTACTGTTACATAAATTTGTATTTGGGGAAATTAATGTGCACTGCAGAGCTTTAAAAGCACTGTGGTGGCACCATGGTAAAATGGTGGTATTTTGATGTATCATGGTACTGAATGATTACCATATTCAGGTGCCATAAAGGAATTCATATGTATTCAGTAAGGATGTATTACAGTGATAAAAAGTGACAGTAAAGACATTTCTAATGTTACTAAAGATTTCAAATAAATGCTGTTCATTTGAACTTTCTATTCATCAAAGAATACTGAAAAAAAATGATTATGGTTTCCACAAAAATATTAAGCAGCCCATCTGTTTTCAACATTGTTAATAATCAGAAATGTTTCTTGAGCACCCAATCAGCATATTCAAATTATTTCTGAAGGATCGTGACAATAAAGACTTGAGTAATGGCTGCTAAATTTCAGCTTTTATTTAAAATGTCATTCTTGTCTAGGTTTTTTGTCTAGGGTTAAAAATCCCCCTTATGCAATTTCTCTGGACCGTGAAGAAACCATTTGTTCCTTGAGATCAGTCATAAATACTGATCCCTTAGTTTAGTTTAAGCACCACTCGACAGAGTTATTTATTTATTTATTTATTTATTTATTTTCATTTTGAAAATACAAGGAGAGGAACACACAAACTCATAATTCTTTGCGAATATGCAGTGTGATGAAGGGGATTTATAACCTTTTATCGCAAGGGCAAGTTGAATACCCTTTCATCTACAAATGAATTCACAGTACATTTGTTTTGGCACACTTTTGTTTCCTTTTGTTTTTGGTTTGGCAATAACACATATCAAGAAAAAACATCCTTGCACGAATAACTTATCAGAAATATTCTGGCCATAAAGCTATTGTTGACTAAACAATAGCCCGCTAAAAGGTGATAAGCACTTTATGGTGTTTCAGTATGTGCTAGCTTATCTTGCTAATTTTTCATGCTAGTTTTTCAATGGCTCACATACTACTGCAATACAACAATGGTTTTATTTTGATAGTATTTTTCTTCTCGTCACAGTTCATGGCTCATCTTTGTCTCTAGTCTCTAGCACATCGTCAGTTTACTTTACGGTGAGTCAAAAGATTTTGAATTGATGCTAAATCTTAAAGTTCAGTTTCATATGTCCGGGTTGTCTTGCGATACTTTTGTTAGCTTTACAAACTTACAAGTTAGCTGTAAAAACTTGTGTAGAGTTTTCACTGTTAAAGTCAATAGACTTTATAGTCATAAATGTCAGACTTAATGAGAAATTACAAGCAGTTAAGTTAGAGATAAGAGAAATTAACCAATGTTTAAACTGCGTTTATCAGGTAAAGGTAATAACACAAAATCCTCATGGTGACTTGTCTTTCTCTTAAGTGTCTTTCTTTACACAGATTCTCAAAAATCTTTATTCCAAACCATTAATCTTTGTCTTTTCTTCTTTTTCCATCTCTAGCCTGAGGAAAAGGCTCAAACGGAGGTGAGAACAGCGTCCCTTATTTCTTATAATGTAAATTATTGACTGGGTTGCACATGGGAGCCTGTAGACTGTCCAAAACACTGTTTTTCTCAGCTGGTTTGTAATTTTAAACACACTTTGATGTAACTCTCTTCAAACCGAAGAGTTGAAAATTTCTGTGTTTGTCATGACGGTCTTCGTGGTAACTGTCCTTGATATCTACTCTTTAATCTTTGTGTTTTATGTCTGCATCCAAAGTTTCCCTTTCATGCTGATCAAGGGCTAGTCTCTCCTTAGCACATTATTATATGAGAAACCACAAACTGGTCTGACATTAGCATCAGAAGTCAGCTTGTGTTTGAATAACTGAATTTAATGTTTGTTTAGATCCGTAAGCTGCGGAGGGAACTGGACTCGTCGCAGGAGAAGGTCTCGACGCTCACAACACAGCTCAGTGCCAATGTGAGTACACTGGACAGTCGTTTTGGCACTATTAACCACAATATACCTTCAATAAACACTGCATCGCTTCTTTCTTTCAACTAGTTTTCATTCATATTCAATTCTAAATCTGCCTAGCATAGCTCTTGAGCATCAAGCATCATTGTGAATAAATCTGTATTTGATAAAAAGTCGTATTGTGAGATGTAAACTGATCCAATCAGGAGATAAGAAGTCACAATTACTAAAATAAAATGGTAAAAATAATTAATAATATATATTTATTAGTAATTATAATAATTATATATATATTATATATATCTATTAAAATTATTTATTTATTTATTTATTTTCAATTTAATAAAGTAACAATTATCTTTATTTTAAAAAAGCCAGGCTTCCATAACATCTGCTACATTTTACCTATATATAAACCCATATATGTTCAGGGGATAAATTGGCAATTTTTAAACTGTGGTGTTATCAAAGATGTTGTTAGTAGTTATAGAAGCGGTTCATGTTGGATTTGTAACATGGTGTAGTCTTGACTTTTGTACAGCTTTAACAGCTGGTAAAATAGTGATTTATTTTTCCGGCTGCCTGCAGTGTATTGAGTATGTGTGTATATTTGTGAGATGCACCTTTAAGTGGAATTACTTGCTCAATAAAACAAATATGACAGCCCCCATTTGGCCGACACAACCTAATGAATCGTCACATCCTAAAACCCCTATCCATCAGTCAGCTCTCATATGGGTTTCACAAACAAAACTAGAGGCTTTTGCCTTTCTGGGGTTTGTTAAAGTGTTTTACGCACGCACAAATGCACCGACTGCTCCTCTGCTTGGACGAAAACCTTTTGAGGAAGCTATATTGGGGGTTATCTGATGTTTGAAACAGCACATGCCCAAACACAAACCTCTGACTCCCTCCGATGGAAGTCATGCAGATCTCCAGTCCCTTGATTATCGGCTCATGTTGCATATGATACGCTTGTTATGTTGTGTACGAGTGTGGTTGCTCATTGTTGGCGGCCACAGCTGAGCAGAAATCTAAGGTGCACGTCGTCCTTGGTGTTTTAGTACGTACGCAGTTCATCACCCCAAAGATGTTGACAGGCAAAGCTAACTCCAGTCGAGCAGTTACCTGGCATCCTCTGAGTCATTACCCATCTTTGAAGAGGGTCTGTGAGAGGACTAAACCAAAGCCTCTCAGGCATAGCAAGAGCCACAGCGGCAGCTCAAAGAACCAGAGTAAATGGAGGAAGCAAGAATTCACTGAGGTGGGCTGAAGATGTTTGAATTTTTAGAGCTGGTTTTTTAATATGATGATGCCTTGAGGGAGTTTGTGATGCTGCTTAGTTTGAGGATTGTGTTTGTGACTCTTGGGATTAAGCTGTTGTTGTTTTGTAGCATGTATAAAATATATATATGCTGTCAAATCGATTAAGCATGATTAATCACATCCAAAATAAAAGTTTGTGCTTGCATGATGTGTGTAATGCGTATATATATATAAATACACACACATGCATGTATATATTTAAGAAATATTTACGTGTGTATATATACATATATTCATATTTACATATGCTTTATATTATATAAAAAATTAAAATATATATTACATATATATCTTAAAATATATACATGTGTGTATTTATATTAAGAATATTCAATTATACTATACTATCCACAATATATGTACATTTATAACTATTTATTGTTAAGATATACAGTATATATATATATAATTTATATTGTATATCTTAATACATATATATAATGCATATATATTATAAATGCATCTTATAATACATATATCAATTATATAAAAATTAGCTTATATTAAAAGCAGAGTATAAATAGTTTATTATATTTATTACCTGTATTAGTAGTGTTTATCATTTTGGAATTTTATTTGTATTTTTTTGTAATATTTGTAGTATTATTATTAGGGATGCACCGATACCGATACTGGTATCGGTATCGGGCCCGATACTGAGCTCTTGTATTCGTACTCGTACTCGTTAAAATGCCCCGATACCAAACGCCGATACCACACAGCATGTGATAAGTGCCATATTCAGACAAAGAAACACCAACAACAGACAGCAGAATGGAGTTAAGGATGTCTACTATGAAGTATATGTATGCAATGAATATAACGTTAAACATTCAGTATTAACGCCTGTATAGCTGATGTGCGCGAGCTGATAAACAAAGCACGCTGAGAGGATTGAGCGCGCGGCGGCGCAGATGCGCGAGCTTGTCGAGTGAATATACCTTTCTCACAGACATCACTGGAAAGTTTGTAGTTCGGTTGGATATGTCAAAAACAAGTAAGTAAAACAATGCAGAAGTTACGTGCATCCCTAATTATTATGAATCGATTTTAGACCTTATTAATTATATTATATTTCTATATTATATGCATGTGTTTTGTGTGTGTGTGTGTGTGTGTGTGTGTGTGTGTGTGTGTAATATTAATTGTCATATTTCAATTTATCTCACAGTTGAAATTAGTATTGTTTATTATGAAAATATATTATGAATACACTTATGTTATCCATATCAGTTATATCGATCTATAATATATTATACTGATTGTTTCTATGTATATGTATGCATGTGTGTATATGTGTGAATATATATAAAAAGCCAATTAAATTATACTATACAATCCACAATATTATATACATTTATACATTTTTATTGTTATTAAATAAATTCATTAATAAGTAAATTAATGAATTTTGTACTACATATAGCAATTATATAAAACATGTCTTATAATAAAAGTAGAGTATAAAATAGTTTATTATATTTATTGCTTATATTAGTAGTATTTATCATTTTGTAATTGTATTTTTACTATTTGTATTTTATTTATTTCTTTATCTTTTTATATTTGTATTTTGTATTTATTTACATAAAAATATTTCTGTATTTATGTTGACATTAGGTGAGGATGTCAGTCTTTAAACTGGCTATTGAGTTTTTACCCGTTTCTTTATCCTCTAAATGTCAGCTTAACAACCCGAGTTCATGCCACAGCTTGTCTTTATCACAAAACATCACGTCTCACAGACATATTTGGATCCATTACTGACAAGCTGCGACCCACATTTTTCTAGAAATGTGATCATACTTTAGTTGACTGCTCAACATCTGGTTTAACTCTACTACTGCTTTGAGTCTTTGTCCATTTATGGCATTTTGCTTAATAAAATAAAACTGGTTTACTTTGTAAATGAAATTGTGTGTGTCCTCAGGCTCACCTTGTGGCGGCTTTTGAGCAGAGTTTAGGAAACATGACCATCCGGCTGCAGAGCCTGACGACGACGGCAGAACAGAAGGTGTGTGTGAGAAAGACTGTGAGTTTTGTTATTTTTGTAGGGACGAGAATTTCTGAAGAAGTCCTCATGACATATTATAACCTAAAATCCATCCCTATGAGGAAAACAGCCTCATTTGGTCTCTAAAAATGTACTATTGTTAAATATAATTGCATATTGTTTAATATCACTTTTTTGCAGGACACAGAGCTGAATGACTTGAGGAAGACCATTGAGCTCCTTCAGAAGCAGAACTCAGCGACTCAAGCCACCATCAATGGAGTCATTAACACACCAGACCCAACATTAACAAACCGCAAGGGTGAGATCTCAATAACTTCAGTACAATAAAAAAAAACAGGATCACATGTATTACCTATGCTTCATTTTTCTTTTTCTTTCTCTCCCTCAGTTTCTCTTGATTCTGTCAACGGGTCGCCTCAGTCCCAGCGAGAGTTGCGGATCCACAGGCAGCCCTCATCAGACAGCGTCTCCAGCATGACCAGCGCCACCAGCCACTCCAGCATTGGCAGCAACCTGGAGCTGGATGCCAAGAACAATAAGAAGAAGAAAAACTGGGTAAGTGCTCAAACCCATCCATCCAATGCAAAAATACCTTCTTTTCTCCTAAAACACGGTTCTCTCCAAGACTGAGCAGACTAGTTAGAGTTAGATCAATGCTAGATTGGATTATGTCTTTCTTTTAACCATTTAAATGTTACATTTTCTTTTCATTTGTGGATGTTTCATGTCATCAGCCTACATGTGGTGGAGGAAAGGTGAATACTTATGTCTTAGAATTAGACTTCTAAACTTAGAATTGTGGGTGATATTCTTGGCTTTGTGTGTTTGTTTCAAACAATTAATCGCGATTAATCGCATCCAAAATAAAAGTTTTTCTTTACATATTATATGTGTGCGTACTGTGTATATTTTTATGTATATATAAATACACACACATACAGTATATATTTTGAAAATATTTACATGTGTGTATATATATATATATATATAAATATATTTAATATCTAAAAATATTTATCTTAAATATATACATGCATGTATATGTATTTATATATACATAATAATATACACAGTACACACACATATTATGTAAACAAAAACTTTTATTTTGGATGCGATTAATCGTTTGACAGCACGATTTGTTTTGAAAGTGTAGAGTAAATATCAGTCATCGATATCATAAATTCATTTGTCCTCTTGCATTCAGGCTGTATCATCTGGTGGAGGAAAATTACCTGATAACTACGTATGCAAAGCTAACGTTGTTGTCGAAGTGTTGATGTTGTTCTGCAGTTTTAGAGCTAGAACCAGTGTTTTTCATCAATAGATTTATCAGATTTATGTTGTGCAGGTGATCTCCTCTCCTTCAGAATGTGTAATCCAAAACACATTTTGCATTTGTATTATAAAATCTGCTAACTGTTCGAGCGAGTGGTTATTTAGCTACATGGTGTTGAATTATGTTTTTTGTCTGATTTTCCCTGTGCTTTCATGTTATGGTACAGGTATATGAGGTAAGGTGGGATAAATGACTCCTTCGGAATATCCTTTTATATTTCTGGAATGTTTTAAAGGGATAGTTTATAAAGATAAACTTTAAAAAGGATATTAGCTACTAACAGCTGTGTGTTGAAGGTTTCGTAGTAACAGATTTGTTTTTTCCACAGCTGCGGAGCTCCTTTAAACAAGCATTCGGGAAGAAAAAGTCTCCTAAATCGGCATCCTCTCACTCGGACATTGAAGAGATGACCGACTCTTCTCTGCCATCTTCACCCAAACTCCCCTATAACAGCTCAACGGCCTCTTCTCCCATGATACGCAACTCCCACTCCAACTCCCTGTAAGCTCCTCACATCAACAACAACAACAATAATACTAATAAAAATGTATTATTATTATTATACATTTATTTATTTTAATTAACTTATTATAATAAATATTATAATAATATCTGTTCATAAAAATTGTTTTGCAACCCATATTTCCTATTTTTATTTCATGCCAGAATGAGTGTGCAGAAGTTAAATTAAATTAAAATAATAATATATTGTTATTTATTATTATTTGTTACTATTTATTATTTATAATTGTGTATTATTATTATTATAAATGTATCTACTAAGCTCCTCACATCAACAACAACAACAATAATACTAATAAAATGTATTATTATTAATGTTGTTATTATTATTATTATTATTATTATTATTGTACATTTATTTATTTAATTAATAATTTATTGTAAATTATTATTTTATAATAATTTATAAATTATAATTTATTACAAAATTTATTATTTATAATAAAGAGTGTATCCTTATTATTATTATTATTATAAATGTATCTATTATCTAATTATCTAAGTTATTTTTTTCTTGTTTTAATAATAATAATAATAATAATAACATTATTATTACTAATCAATGTATTATTATTTCTTATTTTTCTATAATAATAGCCCGATTCCTTTTGGTCTTGGTTCAGGAAGCACACCTTTAACCAGGAGTTTTCTGAAATATTTGATTTTCTGGAAACTTCTTAAGCCTCATTTTGGATGGAAGAAAGATTTCTAATAGACAAGCACCATTTAAAGTGTGATTTAGTCTAGAACTAGGTAGTGTTTTTTGGAAAATACCACCCATTTTGTAAACTAAAAAGTTACACACACCCAAATTTTATGTTGCTACAGAGTAACTCTCAATGTGATGGCACTTTATAAATGTCCAATGCAACGTGGAACACCCTCAGAGTTTCTCTCATGGTTGATATGTGTATGTTCATAGTCCTCAACTGTCCTCGCTGCCTGCACACGGGCCTGTCTGGGGCTGTAGCAGCAAGTCCATGAGGTCTGCCTCACTGGCACGGTAAAGGGAATGGCACAAACAATACCAATATTTCTCAATCTCTGATGATCAGTTCCCTGAATAAAATGCCAAGAACAGATGTTCAACCAATGACCCCTACATTAGTCATTCTGAGCAATTAACAGTTTTAAAACACTATATGCCCTGATTCATAAATAATTAAGTATTGTTTCTATTTCCAATTCTTGCACTACTTCCACAGTTCATTGATGGAAAATTTCACTGTTAATCAATATTTAATGGTTTGTGATTTTTTTTTCATTGTTTTGATTCAAATTACAAAACAATGAACTAATCTTAAAAACAAAACACCACAATAATTTATTTTATTTGTTTGTGTGTGTGTGTGTATATATATATATATATA